GCCAACTGTATCCAGATTGTTGATCTATATAAAGGCCTTATCAAAAAACTTAAAGCCCGTCAAAACACTATAAAATTGGCCCTTGGCATTAATGGCTGAAACCAACGATCATGGTATATGTCAAAGTATAGCTGTCTGTTGAAAATCTACGGTATTAAAATCATACACCAAAGATAAGTCAAACGACAAATTATATGTCACTATATGAGTCCTATATTATACATGTCTTTCAATGAGCACTGTTTAGTAGTGTTCACCACCTTTATAAATTTTGTAAACAGCTTTCGTTATGACATGAATAAGCTTTAATTTTTTGCTGTATATGCATTCTTAATAATACAAATGAGATTTAAATTTTTGCTGTGTGAAATAGAATGCCGTTATTTTTTAATGGACAGCTTGCATCGTCTATATCATATCCAGGATTGCTTGTGTGTAAACGCATTATTCAGTATATGACACTATCAAATAAATATGTGGTAAATGATTAATGAATTAGAGATAAACAGGTGATTCACAATGAAAACTTTAAAAATGTTAGTAGAAGCAGGCTAGAAAACTCGAAAATTTATGTCTATTCGTATGATGCCAATGACGGTCTGTGCGCATCTGACACTGTAAATTTGTGATATAGATTATAGTATGTTAACACAATATAATGATTAATAGAGACCAAAAAAGGCTAAAGTATTACTATAATTACCGAATACGAATTATGTACTAAATCCAGATAAACCAATGACTAAAATTTCCTCTGTACTTATAGACATTTCTCTGTTCGGCTATTATCAAATGTTTACATTTGCTAATATTGGGTCAGTCCTAGACAATACTGTTTCTTTTAAAAATCTTATAAACAAGACGCGTAGTAACAAGTGAATCGGTACAAAGCGTATCAACGTTTACAAGAAAGGACGAATGTAATCATTTATGGCGTATTTTAAAAACATTACATATTAAAAGGTTTGTTACAACCGCGCTCGATTGTGAAGAGAGCATGCATTGAATAGCAACACGAGAGAGCACGTACTGCGAGTAACGATTTGCTTTGTTTCTTGACTTGACTGTTAGTAAGAATGTAAGAATGTTCTTGTAAATTCAAAGCAAAGAAAATAAACAAAAATTAGCAAGTATTTTGAACGTAATAATTCGCAAAATTTATGTTTTTAACGAATATTCCACTGGAAGCATGTTGATGTAATTTGATACTTTGCCCACACCCCCTCAGGCGCTAAATGTTTGATGAGGCACGTGACCAGCCGCAGCCAGGGTCTTTCCCAAAGAAAGATCCTGGGTACGAGGTTGCGATGACGTGACGATGCTAGGAAGGAGCGACACATTTTGCGACACAGTGTTGTTTTCAAATGTATACACATTTCAGACGTGAATATTGAGTAAATCTTTGAGAGTCTACGCAATATATAAATTGATGTTATTCATTACGGGCATTCAGTCAAGTACCGATATTACTTAGACGGTATATTCATTATACAGAGCTAAGAACTAAGGAGCTAGATAGTGCTTTTTTCCAAATGTATATAAAACATTTCAGACTTAATTATAAATATTGAGAAAATCTTCGAAGTGCCGATATTATTTTGACGGTATATTCATTATACAGAGCTAGGAAGGAGCGAGACAGCGTTGTTTTCAAGTACATAAACATTTCAGACCGATGAATATTGATAAAATCTTTGAGATGCTACGTAATATATAAATTGATGTTGTGCATTTATACCGGCCGGCATTCAATTAAGTGCCGATATTATTTAGTCGTATATTCATTATACATCGAATGTAAAGGTGTAACACTGCTACACCACAGAATAGGTCACTCAGTACGAAGAGCAAAACATCAGATCAGTAGAGCATAAATAACTATCAAACAGAAGTAGTGTACTAGTGTTTGTATATCATTGTATGGCGTTTGCTATCCAACGTGTACAGTCACGGGCCTTGTTCACATGTCTGGCACAACGGTGCAAACTGGTGTTCAATGGCACAATGCAATATTCAAATGCAACGAGAACATCACCAGATCTTACGAGAATCTATCTGTATCAAAGCTTTATCAAAACTGCTATAAACTCTGCTGTAACTGTGAAATTATTGACATCTAAAGAGACATTATTGAATACTTGCGGAAAGCTGAAAATGACTCATATAAAAAAAACAACCTGATCTTGGCCTTGGGAATATAAAGTCAAAGGTCATTGAGACTTGTTATTGAGAAACATGTCACAATTAAGTTAAAATGCGGAAGCGGATGCGGAACCTAGCGGATCCATGGAGCGGGTGCGGAACGGATATGGGGATAAAATGCGTCATTTAAATGAATTTTTTCGCCTCATTTTTATGTGTCTGTGTTTTGGATTTATGTTTTTTGTAATGGGATGCAACGTCATATTAACTACAGTGTCCCCCCAAAAAAGTACCCTTATAACAATAGGATAGATACTTTCTATAGAGGGTACTTTTTTGGGACACACTTAGTTATACAGCTATTTCAATTGTGTCTCTGAGACAATAGTTAAATGTGCAATATGGGCGCTGATAGTTTTAAATAAGTTTAGTATATCAGTAGCCTCATGGGGATACTTTCAGCGACAGCTCCCAATGCAATTGTAGTTTTAGAATATACAAAATTTGGTTGCTGGTGAAAGAATTTAATTTCGAGTTGTCTCGTGTAGCATCACAATAAATAAATAAATTGTACCAGTTCCACGAGGCACGGCGAAGGAAGTGACAATGAATTGTTTCTCTCGTAAAAACCTTGTTCTAATCCACATTTTTGAGTAACGTGCAGTGTTGGTATGTTAGATGAAGAATTAGGCCAAATCGTATTAGTGCCGTTATTGAAAACAAATAAAACAAAAAAAAACAAAACACGCTAAGACAAAAAAAAAACAAAGGCCTAATGTAACGTTGTTTGGCCTAATTGTTGAGCAAACCTATTAACCCGCTAGACCCTACGCAGTTCTTCGCGATCGTATTCAATTTGAAACTTTACACTATCCTTGGATCCCTAGTTATACTGACTGTTATCATTCCAGGTAAAGTAAAATAAATTGAGTTCACTGGTTTATGCACATGTAATGACTAATGGGACAAATTAATGTGCGATTTCAGAAAAAAATGCAAAACTAAAGCGCAGTTATGGCCGTTTTCCACTTCAACTATCGTAACATATCGTAGCATTTTCTTTTGTGTCGAAGTCATTAGTTCCACTCAGGCTAGTGCTCTGGAAACAAAAAAATACGCTATACTTCAGTAGGATACGGTTGAGGTGGAATACGGCTTTATTCTGATTTCTGTGTTTATTTTTCTCGCCGCCCTTGCCGCCCGCGAGCGAATAAAGCCTGCTACGCAATAGCGTATACCCAATGCTCTCGACTACAGTGCCAGGCTAACGTGTTTACAGCTCGAACGGGAAACCCGAGGCCGCTTTTTCATATTTTTTGATGTTCACAAACTAAACCAAAACCAATCACCACCGGGTTATTTTGACTGAACCTTTTCCGGGTATGAACTTATGATATAGCCATAGGTCTAAATAACCCGCTGGTGATTGGTTTTGGCTTAGTTTGAAAAATACGCAAAAGCGGTTTGCCTGTTCGAGCTGTAATATTCCTTCGATCCTGAATTTGCCTTTTCCAAATGTTCCTCAAACGTGCGTAAAAATAATAGAACATTCGATCGTACTTTACGCCAAATTTGAGCATAGTAAACTATTTCACAATCTCAAATGACAGATTAGGAAGATAATGATTCCTAAGTTTTCCCCCCATAACGTATGTGTGAAAAATTAAACTTAATAATAATAATCATTTATTTAATCACGATATTAAATACAGCACAGCTGAAGTGGTCCTCATGCAATTTTCTTGCTAAAGCGAATGTTCCTTAGGATCCCGAGATTCCGCTCTTTCCTTGGTCTGGACAGGATCTCCAACCCACCGCCTTTGCTAAATATGTAATATTGACATAACCTGTTGCATCAAATAAATTATGTATTATATGCGTCATGCATGAACTGCATGTTGTGGTTATTTGCAATTTATACAAGGTTTCCTCAACATTTCCACTCGATTTTAGGCGGCTTTTAATTTCTTTCTAATCGAGTGCTATTAGGTTTCTAATTGAGTGTCATTAATTTCATCACTAATTGAGAAGCATTAGCCATTAAAGATACATAATTGTCAGGTTATCTGTTGGATCATGCAAGAGCATCTTTGAGGCAAAGAACGGTCAATAATGAACGATGAACGATTAGTGCGGAAATTCTTTCTCCTTGCCTTGTATACAGCTATTTCAATTAAGGTTGTCCCCCGAGCAAAGCGGAAAAGTCGAATACGAGCGCGAAAGGCTGCTGAGATTCGCTAATAAATGAATGCATTTATTAGCGAATCCCAGCAGCCTTTCGCGTTCGTATTCGACTTTTCCGCTTTGCTCGGGGGACAACCTTAATTGAAATAGCTGTATGCTTTGCGTTGAAGATAAATCGTTCATAATACTGCAATAGCCAGCAGGGATAGTAAAAACGTGTTCTGCACGCTGTAACCACTTAATGGATTAGGACATGTCCGAGTAGTCGTATTATAGTGGCCATCATGGTATTCCCCTACCTGTCATAGTAGCATGGGATTCCCCCGTCTGACGTTCTTGGCACGGGATTTTCCCTTCCTAACACAAATATAAGCGGAAGAAAGCGAAACCGAAGCGAAATATTAAGTGATGTCTGGAGAGAAAGACGAAATGTTAGCCGGCCGTGGAGGTAATGTTGTGTGTTGGCATAAAATGGTTGAGGCTATCAATGCCGTTTGTCAGCTCACAATTATTGATGGATCTGGAACCACAGGCACTAACGAAAGGTAAATTCAACCTAATTAAAATCTTATACAACGACCAAGAACATTTCATCGTAGAACATTTCATCGTAGAACATTTCATCCAGAACTTTTCATCCTCAACAACATTTCATCATATGTATATCAATTATTATGCAATTATTATGCCTGAGGTACGAAAGCCAGCCCCAACCTCGCAAGCCAGGGTCTTTATTTCCGCACGGGCTGGCTTGCGAGGTTGAGCCTGCCCCCGGCAATTCCATGAATATGTCATGGCTTTTTCTAAAGCTCTTTTATAGTCTGCTCTGTATGACTGTAGGAAGGGAAGTGGATCTCTTGTACGGTTGAAACTCGATGGAAACATCATCAGTGCGATCCTCACCAATCATCATGTTATAAAAAATGATGAAATGGCAGCAAAGACATCCATTACATTCAACTATGATGGTAAAGGTGAACCAATGATCATCAATTTATATCCCGATATTTTCTTCAGAACAAGTCGGGTAGGTTTTCATCAATAATAGACAAGAAACTTTTTATTTGATTTCAATACACGGGTAATTTTGTTGAAAAACGATCGCGTTGATGGCCAAGACTTATAACCAAGCCGAAAGTGTTTGAAAATCAGATGATTAAGTCGTTAACGGCTTTCATGGAAAGTCGTTAACGACTAATGGAAGGATTGTCTTACATGGAAATTCCCAATTTAAGGAAGAATTTGGAAGAAGGTGGCCTAATTTATAGGCGTTTATATAGTACTATATAGATATGCTACTTTATCAAACTATATATATGCAACGCTTAAGTTGATTCTTGTGTTTTGTTCATGAGTTACTCCTGCCATAATTCTCCTTTGAATCCTAGTCAGTTCCTGTTTTCGCGTCCCGCAAAACCCTTCTGGGCTACACTCAAAAACGGGGAGGGGGGCAAAAGGGGAAAATTTTCCCGGGCCCCTATTTGAAGCCCCCCCCCCAAAAAAAAAAGGTAAGGAATTTGCAGAGGAGGGCCCCCAAATGCCGCTTATGTGCTTTCGGTAGAGATCAATTGAAACCTGCTGCTTGCGATTCCAGTACAGCGCTCTGACCATAGTGCTGTGATTCTTTTATAGGACTACGACTTCACCTTGGTCGGTTTAAAACCAGACGACATTGATTCACTTCACACAAAACTGGATATCCGTCCACTTCGACTGCAACGTATTTCTGAACATGACGTGTATAATGTCAAAATTGTCCAAATTGCGCAACATCCCCAAGGAAAACCAAAACGGTTCAGTATGGGCAGGGTTTGTGAAATCCAAGAAAAATACATTCTCTATGACGCCGATACCACTGCCGGTTCCTCTGGGTCCCCTGTGTTCTATGTCCGTGACGAAGATTGTTGTGTTCTAGCATTGCACAAGTCAGGTGGCGTGGTGACGTCATCATGTAAACAACCAGTGAATAAGGGAGTGTTCATTAATATTATTTTGGATTATCTTAGTGGCGGTAAGTTGTTGAGAATGGTTAGCATGTCATGAAGAGTGAGGTGGATAACAAACCGAGGCCTGGATAATTCTCGATACCATACGAAAACCGAATTCAGTAATTGTTTTATTATATATTCAAAAGCTAGAAAGAAAGCAAAGCCACTTTGTTTACACTTTTGGAATACCGCGCCGGGTAACCGGTCCAAAAAAGTATTATTGCATGCTGATGGCGTTTGTGTTCGAATACATTTCCCTAGAACACACGCCCTTTCAATTGCACATAACACTTAACTCGCCGTTACGTTATATACTGTACTAGTGTGCTTGAATAAATTAAGGGAACAAATGGAAAGCAAAGCAACACCTAAATATTCCTTTGACCTTGATTATATGATACACAGGACAATTTTCAACCATGCCACGACTTAAGCTTGTGACATATATGAGCCTCTTATAGCTAGTAGTTAAATATCAGGAATATTTCAGGCAAAATAGTATAAAATTTGCGACTCGGAATTACCATCTAAAACTCCTTCGACTAGCAACAGCTAGAACCCGTTTTATTCCGTCTAATATCGCGTTTAAAGAATCCAAATCCTATGCAACATGAACTATTCACAATGGTGAGATTCTAAAACCATTTTTATATATAGGTCCTGTTAAATTCATGCAACCAACAGAACATAAAGTGAAGTTTACTGAATCAAAACAAGCAGGTTTCACTCCACAAGAAACTGTCCGGATTGGCAGCAGAATTCCAGATAAATGGGAAAAGATAGCCCTCGCCACTGGAAAATTCAACGATAAAGAAACAGCCATTATCAGACTTAATCATAACTACCATGATAATGCAATGAAAGCGACAACGATGTTGAGTGATTACCAAAGGAGGTTGGGTACTAGAGAAAATTTAGTGTCTGCTTTGAAGGAATTTGGGGAACTTGATTTGGCTGAAAGAGTACAGTCTAAGTATTTTCAGACTAAGAAATGTAAAAGTTAAGTTAGTTTACATTTATTTTTAGAATTTCAAATGCTATAGAACTTCACTCTCTGCTGCTGTATACCAAGATGCTTTGGTTTGTTTCTCACGTCATCAAGCGCACGGGAATCGAACCCGCGACCTTTGGTTTGCTGCTAGTTCCGAAATATCATGCGCTCAAACCAACTTGACCTCGTAGCTCAGTTGGTAGAGCATTAAACCAAAGGTCGCCGGTTCGATTCCCACCGCGGTCATGTTAACTTTTCAGCTTGCCCAGAGTGGACACCCTCAGATTAACATCACAAACATATAATATTGTTCCCAGTAAACTGCGAAACGGCCGTTTTTTAAGGCGGTTTGCGAGTGACAGTTTTGTCAATCACGAGGATCTCACTATTTCAGTTTAATAATCTGACGGTTAAATGTATTTTCTAGTTTTATTTTCCAACCAGGTGCGTAGTTTTGAATTAAACGTTACAAATTCGTTACTGCATGAACTGTCAATTTATGTACACGTAAACAAGGTTAGAGACGAGTGAGGCAAGGTTAATGCAACAAAATACATGGAATATCTTGGTACTGTATATTCACCCGAATCTAATTTGTTCATTTTAGAGCTTTATAAATTCTTATGAACTTCCATTTCTTGAAAATATCTACTAGTCAGAAACAATCATCTCGATTCTGTAATTGACAATTGACATATAATTTTGGCACATTGCGGGACATATATTTTTCAACGGTATAAAGACAAAATAATTATCACGTGACCTCGGCGGGGTTGGTTTTCGCAATTTACTGGGAACAATCAGCCTCGTACGCAAAGAATGGGAAAACGTATATGAAACAGGATAATGATGTTCATTCTAAAGTAGTTTCTGTAGGAACAAATCGTCTGCTTCTTGTTCTACAGCTTCTGCTTTTAGGTCAACTTCGAACTCGTACGGTAAAATCAATAATCATTTAATACGGTTCGACTAAACAAAACAAATACATACAAAACTAAGACACTACACTATGAACTAATCGCATAATATGAAATAAAACTTACAGATATTCCCTCTGTTAGAGTAAAGTAAATTCTGTCAATAAGTTCAGACGAGAAACAGTCCGTTAGCGTTGACTTAGATATAGATTCTAAATAATTTCGCAGTCCAAACGAAGTTCAAATGTACTGAACGCATGACTACACGCGTTACATAATCACAATAAATTACCATATATACTAAATTAAAATACAATAAATCCGGAAGCAGGACTGAATCCTACATACCGGCCCCTAAATGTTCATATAACATTTATAACTAAACTGATCGAAAGGATTCAATCAAGTCCACGATAAACTAGAGTTAACACGAATGGTTATTAAACTATGTATCGTTATAGAGTGTCGTAGTTTCCAAAAATACGATTTTATCAACTGGACGTTCCAATATCGTAGACTTCGCTTTTAGGGTTACCATCCTGACAAAGCCGTCTTTCGTGTTTGGTTTTACTTCTAGGATGCGGCCAAGGGTCCAGGCACATCTTGGTGAATTCTCATCAACTAGCAGTACTATATCACCAGGGGCAAAATTTCTGCGTGGCTTGACCCATTTCTGTCTTTCTTGTAAACTCGGCAGATATTCTTTGATCCATCTTCGCCAAAATACATCGGCCAGATACTGTACTTGGCGCCATCTTCTACGAGTATAAAGATCGTCTTTGGTAAAGACTCCAGGCGGCAACAAAGAGCCTGTACGCAGTAGCAACAAGTGATTTGGTGTCAGTGCTTCTAAGTCTTCAGGGTCGTCCGACACTTTCGTTAATGGTCTGCTGTTTATTATGGATTCTATTTCGCACATCAACGTCACGAGACCCTCGTCATCAAGAGTTTGTTGGTTGAGAAGAGCTGTCATAACCTTACGTACAGTGCGAATGCAGCGCTCCCACACACCACCGTGATGGGAGCCCGTCGGTGGGTTAAAGATCCACTTCACATTACGTTGCAAAAGAAATTGATGAACTTTCTCTTGGTTCCAAGCAGCAACAGCAGTGCGGAGTTCCTTCTCGCCACTGACAAAATTTCCACCGTTGTCTGATCTCATGACTTCTGGTGGACCTCTTCTAGCGATGAATCGGCGCATAGAATGAAGAAATGAATCGGTATCGAGGCTGTGGGCGACTTCAAGGTGGATTGCTCGTATCGTCATACATGTAAATAATACTCCGTATCTTTTTACTAGACTTCTGCCACGTTTTATCACGAAAGGGCCGAAGCAGTCTACTCCCACGAAGGTAAAGGGGGGTCGGTCGGGTGTCACTCGGTGCTCCGGGAGGTCGGCCATTTTCTGTTCTCCAACCGGTGCTTGACGCTTGCTACAATCAACGCATTTGTTAAGGACTCTTCGCAATGTGGCTCTTGCTCCAATCAACCAGAACTTTTCTCGCATCAAGGACAGAGCGTGTTCCAATCCAGAATGTCCAGCAATCAGATGATAATATTGTGCAATCAGAATCGATATGTGATGATTCTTTGGTAGAATAAAGGGATGTTTCGTTTCTGATGGAATAGGCGCGTTCCTTAGTCGTCCTCCGACGCATAACAGATTATCAGATAATTTCGGATCCAATTTATGAATTGGGCTGGATTTCTTGACAGAAGCTATTTTCGCATCGACATCTTCACGTGTAACTGACTTGCTGAGGATGGATAGCTCTTCTTGAAAATTGTTACGCTGTACGTATCTCATAATTTCCTTTTCCGCTTGAATTATTTCATCAACGACTATAGGCTTAATTTCTGATTTTCCACGGGTTTCGATATTCCATTTCTACGCCTTGTACTAGTTACTCGTAGGCTCGTGCGATACCGAAGCATCCAAGCTATGAATTTCTTAAGTCGTTCCCACGATGAGAAGCGTTTGAAAATTGCGTCTAGCGTGGACTCGTGGGCAATGGTATCTGTAGAGAACGTCTGAACTTCTCTCTTAACCTCCATATCTTCGTCTTGGATCTCACCGAGCACATTTGGTGGAGTTGGCCAATGAGTTTCTGACTTCCACAAGAAATCCGGACCACTCAACCATCTTGTGTTGCTAATCAATTCATCAGCAGAAAGACCTCGTGATGCGTCGTCCGCAGGATTCAGCTGGGTTGAAACATATTTCCACTGAGATGGGGAACTGACTTCACGAATACTAGCTACACGGTTTGCGACAAACGTCTGGAATCTTTTGTCCTCGTTAGCGATGTAGCCTATAACACAGGTGCTATCCGTCCAGAATAGTGATGTATCAATTGGAATGTCAATCTCCGCACGTATCATTTTGTCCAGCCTTGTTGCGACTACGGCTGCGGATAATTCCAAACGAGGGATCGTGGTCTCTTTCAGCGGTGCTAATCTTGCTTTACCCATCACGAACGAGCAGTGGATTTGAGCGTTCTGGTTTGTTAATCGCAGATAGCTAACAGCACCATATCCCCGTTGCGAAGCGTCGGGAGAATGATGCAATTGACTTGAGGCAATTTCACCGAACTCTGGAGGCTTGAAACATCGGGGTACACGAAGTTGTTCAATTTTGGGAACTTCTTCTTGCCAGTTCTTCCAACGAAGGAGGTGCTCATATTGGATAGGGTCGTCCCAGCCGAGATTCTTCCGACAAAGATCCTGCATAATAATCTTCGCTAGTAACACGAATGGACATACGAATCCGAGAGGATCATACACCGAACTGATAATCGAAAGGATTCCTCTTCCGGTTGGAGGGTTATCTTTAACCTTGATCCTGAATCCAAATTCATCGCGGCCGATGTCCCAGAGGACCCCAAGAGCTCGTTCAATGGATGGCTTGTCAAAACAGAGATCTTTAACTGAGGCTGCTCTTTCCGATTCGGGTAATGACGCGACAACCTTTGATGAATTAGACACCCACTTAGTCAAGCGGAATCCACCTTTGGCAAGGAGTTCGCGAAGATCGCTGGCCAGAACTGTTGCTTGACTGTCGTCTCCAACAGATTTGAGGCAGTCATCCACGTAAAAATTGCGTCTAACCGTGTCCGTTACTTTCGCGTCGAAATGCTCGGAGTTGTCGTCTGCGGTTTTAAGCAATGCGAAGTTAGCACAGCTCGGGGAAGAAGTCGCCCAAAATAAATGGACCAGCATTTGAAATTCTTTGGGTTCGGAATTAAGATCATTTTCTGGCCACCATAAGAAGCGAAGAGCATCGCAGTCTTCATGACGTACGTTGACTTGATGAAACATTGACTCAATGTCTGCCATAAGAGCCACGGGCTCTTGTCGAAAGCGAATCAAGACTCCCACAAGATTATTAGTTAAATCGGGTCCTTGCAGTAGTTGGTCGTTGAGGGACGTCCCGTGGTAAACAGCGGCGCAATCAAACACGACTCGAATTTTATCTGGTTTACTCTGACTGAAAACTGGATGATGAGGCAAGTACCACAACTTTCCGTCCGATTGCTGAAGTGAATTAATTGGCACCATTCGTGCAAACCCCTTGTCGACGAGCTATTATCCATGAATTTAGCATACTTGGAAAATAGATCAGGATCCTTCACAAGTCTTTTCTTCAAGAGCTTTAGGCGATGTTCAGCAAGAGGCCGACTGTTTGGTAGGTGAGGGGGAGAGTTTTTCCAAGGTAAAGCTATTTCATAGTGTCCGTTGTGGAGTCGGATAGAATTTTCCATGATATTCACTGCGCGAGAATCCTCTATAGACATTGCAAGCTTGCTGTCGAATGTAGAGTCGTTGAATTCAACATTACAAAACTTCTCAAATTGCGTACTAAACGTGTGATCACTTCGAATATAGTTGGTTGAACGACATGTTCGTGAATTCCTTCCAAGCGGTCCGTTAATGATTAATGTCCAATACCCATGCAAGATGTCCGATGGAAAAATGAAAAGGCCATTGGACATTCCATTTGTCAAATGGATCTCTATTTGTCCATTGGAATTTTGTTTGTCCATTGGATCCAATGGACAAGTGGAATTTCCATCGGACATTTGCTTTTTCAGTTGGTCAATTACCATGTATTTGAGTGATGTAATGAGAAGCACATGGACATCATGTAGATACAAGGCCAGTGAGATAGCCAAACGAAAGTGTCCATTGGATCCAATGGATCCAATGGACCTGGAAATGTCCATTGGAGTTTTGTGTGTCCATTGGATCCAATGGACAAGTGGAATTTCCATCGGACATTTGCGTTTTCAGTTGGTGAATTACCATGTATTACAATGACGCAATGACAAGCACATGGACGTCATGTAGATATACAAGGCCATTGAGATAGCCAAACGAATTGTCCATTGGATCCAATGCATCCAATGGACTTGCAAATGTCCATTGGAATTTTGTTTGTCCATTGGATCCAATGGACAAGTGGAATTTCCATCGGACATTTGCGTTTTCAGTTGGTGAATTACCATGTATTACAATGACGTAATGACAAGCACATGGACGTCATGTAGATATACAAGGCCATTGAGATAGCCAAACGAATTGTCCATTGGATCCAATGGATCCAATGGACTTGCAAATGTCCATTGGAATTTTGTTTGTCCATTGGATCCAATGGACAAGTGGAATTTCCATCGGACATTTGCGTTTTCAGTTGGTGAATTACCATGTATTTCAATGACGTAATGACAAGCACATGGACGTCATGTAGATATACAAGGCCATTGAGATAGCCAAACGAATTGTCCATTGGATCCAATGGATCCAATGGACTTGCAAATGTCCATTGGAATTTTGTTTGTCCATTGGATCCAATGGACAAGTGGAATTTCCATCGGACATTTGCGTTTTCAGTTGGTGAATTACCATGTATTACAATTACGTAATGACAAGCGCATGGATGTCATGTAGATATACAAGGCCATTGAGATAGCCAAACGAATTGTCCATTGGATCCAATGGATCCAATGGACTTGCAAATGTCCATTGGGATTTTGTTTGTCAATTGGATCCAATGGACAAGTGGAATTTCCATCGGACATTTGCGTTTTCAGTTGGTGAAGTACCATGTATTTCAATGACGTAATGACAAGCACATGGACGTCATGTAGATATACAAGGCCATTGAGATAGCCAAGCGAATTGTCCATTGGATCCAATGGATCCAATGGACTTGCAAATGTCCATTGGAATTTTTGTTTGTCCATTGGATCCAATGGACAAGTGGAATTTCCATCGGACATTTGCGTTTTCAGTTGGTGAATTACCATGTATTACAATGACGCAATGACAAGCACATGGACGTCATGTAGATATACAAGGCCATTGAGATAGCCAAACGAATTGTCCATTGGATCCAATGCATCCAATGGACTTGCAAATGTCCATTGGAATTTTGTTTGTCCATTGGATCCAATGGACAAGTGGAATTTCCATCGGACATTTGCGTTTTCAGTTGGTGAATTACCATGTATTACAATGACGTAATGACAAGCACATGGACGTCATGTAGATATACAAGGCCATTGAGATAGCCAAACGAATTGTCCATTGGATTGGATCCAATGGACTTGCAAATGTCCATTGGAATTTTGTTTGTCCATTGGATCCAATGGACAAGTGGAATTTCCATCGGACATTTGCGTTTTCAGTTGGTGAATTACCATGTATTACAATGACGTAATGACAAGCACATGGACGTCATGTAGATATACAAGGCCATTGAGATAGCCAAACGAATTGTCCATTGGATCCAATGGATCCAATGGACTTGCAAATGTCCATTGGAATTTTGTTTGTCCATTGGATCCAATGGACAAGTGGAATTTCCATCGGACATTTGCGTTTTCAGTTGGTGAATTACCATGTATTACAATGACGTAATGACAAGCACATGGACGTCATGTAGATATACAAGGCCATTGAGATAGCCAAACGAATTGTCCATTGGATCCAATGGATCCAATGGACTTGCAAATGTCCATTGGAATTTTGTTTATCCATTGGATCCAATGGACAAGTGGAATTTCCATCGGACATTTGCGTTTTCAGTTGGTGAATTGCCATGTATTTCAATGACGTAATGACAAGCACATGAACGTCATGTAGATATACAAGGCCATTGAAATAGCCAAATGAATTGTCCATATTGGATCCAATGGACTTGCAAATGTCCAATGGAATTTTGTTTGTCCATTGGATCCAATGGACAAGTGGAATTTCCATCGGACATTTGCGTTTTCAGTTGGTGAATTACCATGTATTTCAATGACGTAATGACAAGCACATGGACGTCATGTAGATATACAAGGCCATTGAGATAGCCAAACGAATTGTCCATTGGATCCAATGGATCCAATGGACTTGCAAATGTCCATTGGAATTTTGTTTGTCCATTGGATCCAATGGACAAGTGGAATTTCCATCGGACATTTGCGTTTTCAGTTGGTGAATTACGACGTATTACAATGACGTAATGACAAGCACATGGACGTCATGTAGATATACAAGGCCATTGAGATAGCCAAACGAATTGTCCATCGGATCCAATGGATCCAATGGACTTGGAAATGTCCATTGGAATTTTGTTTGTCCATTGGATCCAATGGAAAAGGGGAATTTCCATCGGACATTTGCGTTTTCAGTTGGTGAATTGCCATGTATTTCAATGACGTAATGGCAAGCACTTGGACGTCATGTAGATATACAAGGTCATTGAGATAGTCAAACGAATTGTCCATTGGATCCAATGGATCCAATGGACTTGCAAATGTCCATTGGAATTTTGTTTGTCCATTGGATCCAATGGACAATGGAATTTCCATCGGACATTTGCGTTTTCAGTTGGTGAATTACCACGTATTTCAATGACATAATGACAAGCACATGGACGTCATGTAGATATACAAGGCCATTGAGATAGTCAAACGAATTGTCCATTGGATGCAATGGATCCAATGGACTTGCAAATGTCCATTGGAATTTTGTTTGTCCATTGGATCCAATGGACAAGTGGAATTTCCATCGGACATTTGCGTTTTCAGTTGGTGAATTACGACGTATTACAATGACGTAATGACAAGCACATGGACGTCATGTAGATATACAAGGCCATTGAGATAGCCAAACGAATTGTCCATCGGATCCAATGGATCCAATGGACTTGGAAATGTCCATTGGAATTTTGTTTGTCCATTGGATCCAATGGAAAAGGGGAATTTCCATCGGACATTTGCGTTTTCAGTTGGTGAATTGCCATGTATTTCAATGACGTAATGGCAAGCACTTGGACGTCATGTAGATATACAAGGTCATTGAGATAGTCAAACGAATTGTCCATTGGATCCAATGGATCCAATGGACTTGCAAATGTCCATTGGAATTTTGTTTGTCCATTGGATCCAATGGACAAGTGGAATTTCCATCGGACATTTGCGTTTTCAGTTGGTGAATTACCATGTATTACAATGACGTAATGACAAGCACATGGACGTCATGTAGATATACAAGGCCATTGAGATAGCCAAACGAATTGTCCATTGGATCCAATGGATCCAATGGACTTGCAAATGTCCATTGGAATTTTGTTTGTCCATTGGATCCAATGGACAAGTGGAATTTCCATCGGACATTTGCGTTTTCAGTTGGTGAATTGCCATGTATTTCAATGACGTAATGACAAGCACATGGACGTCATGTAGATATACAAGGCCATTGAGATAGCCAAACGAATTGTCCATTGGATCCAATGGATCCAATGGACTTGCAAATGTCCATTGGAATTTTGTTTGTCCATTGGATCCAATGGACAAGTGGAATTTCCATCGGACATTTGCGTTTTCAGTTGGTGAATTCCCATGTATTTCAATGACGTAATGACAAGCACATGGACGTCATGTAGATATACAAGGCCATTGAGATAGCCAAACGAATTGTCCATTGGATCCAATGGATCCATTGGACACCGTGTTTTCCGTTGGAAAAATATTTGTCAGATGGATCAAATGGGCAAGTGTTTTGCGTGCGGGCATATTGCTAAAACAGTTAGCGAATAGTGGCTGCTAGCATATTGAAATATGCAATCATAGTTGTTTTCACTATTTATTTTTGCGTTCTTGTTAAAGTGTGTAAATCTACATAATTCAAATTACCATGTGACTATTATTGCTACAGACATGTAAATTTGAGGTTTGGGCAAAGGTTATTAGTATAAAACGTTCTGCTGCTTGGCCGTTTACTACATTTTACTGTAATATATGTCAAATGTCACGCAATTCTATCCGACTAGTATTAAAGATTTTGGTTTGCACTTTCGTTCGCGCGTAGTGACTTTGGCTTAAAATGCGTTGAAAAATTTTAAAGATGTTATAGTCATAGACGCGAAAGCAGGATTAAAATGCTGAAATGGGCAAGTGATTGATTCGTACGGGCATATCGCAATAGCAGTTAGTGAATAGTGACTGCTAGCATATTGAAATATGTAATCATTCTTGCTTTCATTCATTTTTGCGTTCTTGTTAAGTTTTTATTTTCCTACTTGTATTTTTAGTGTAAATGTAGAGAATAAGAATTATCATGTGAGTACAGCTACAGAGTATATTGGGCAAAGGTTATCAGTTTAAATTTATAAACACAACAGCATGAAACATGAGGCCGCCGCGAAATTCCATCCGACTAGGATTAAACATTTTCGGCGTTTCCATGCAGTATTGATATGTAATTATGAAACATTTTTGTCGTGCGTAGTGACTTTGGCTTACGTTAAAAATACATTGAAAAGATTTAAAAATGTTGGATTTGAACACAAGCTTCCGACTGTGGAAGAACTGTGAGGAAACCTGCACTGGCAGTCAAAACTGGAAAGTTTGTATTGAAACATTTTAATTCATTTCTTCTTGGTAACAGCAGCACTGACGAAACTGAGCAGTTTAACCGAGTAGCGACGGCGTTGGCAATGACCAAGGACTAGTTGTTACCAATTTTGACGCGATGTAAGATGAGATGTTATACAATTACGATAATAATTTGCATACAAGTTTGGCATAGGAAACGAAGTGACTGTTATATAACACTACTGATATACTGATATGTTGTCATGGATTATGGTGAACGTGTAAGATAGGAAGTATTTATATTTTGCCGACACGTGCATGTAGCATCATATGTTATTTCGCCATACGACCTTTCTTTTATATACAAAGCACATGTAATTAAAAAATTCAGTTATTATAGCCTTTAATACATAAATAGCTAGAAGGATGTATCGCTTTGACAGTTGACCTGAAATTCGAGTGCGTTCCATGTAACTGCAGATTTGTGTGCCGATGGAAACCTAACAAAAGTGCAAGACGTCTTTCTGCGTGAAAAACTAATTAGTCTTTGTAAAAAGTCGTGGCAATTAATAAGTGCTTAAAATACAAACAGCGAATAAAAAAAGAACATAAACCCAAAAAAATCTGTTTGAGACGGTTGGATAATGATGAGGGTCATTCCGTGTCGAACATCAATTACCTGCCTTGAATGCATGCCGCCTGTTATGTTTGAGTTTTGGCGGGACTGGGTGAAAAGTCGTGTTTCGCCGTGCGTAAAAAGTCTTGCGTAAAAGTCGTAATGTCTAATGATTCGAAAAATGCCCTAAATTTGCGGTTTTCGCTAAAAAGTAGCCGGCTGCTCTCAGCCCAAATGCGGAGCTGCTGAGCAGGCTAGCTAAAAATAGCAACTTTAATTTGTGGAATAATTTCGAATTATGTTCAGTAAAAAGCATCATAAGTGATGTCCAATGCTCAACTGAATATTTAAAATGCAATGTGTGAAGCCCGGTTTTCACTGGCGACATAATATAAGCAAGAACACAAAGCATGAATGATACTCATGAGGGTTTCAAAGACAAAAAAGAACAAAAATTTCCTCACAATTTCCTTTTTTCTATCATATATAGGTAGCTTACGCTTGGAGTTGTGGTTAAGTGTCGATGCTTATTAAGTACCCCACTGCATTTAATTTATTTGTTTTGCATTTGCAACGTCAAATACGCTTGCATGCATTGTTATTGAACCCTTATAGGTTGATAACACAATTAAACTTTATATATAGAATAAATTATAAGGCATAAGGTAATATCTCAAGTTGGTATATATACCCCTAAAAATATGCGATAGGCTCACGGCATAATTGTTCTGTGGCAAATATATTCTTCAACAAACCCTAGAATATATTTATATATGTCCATCTTCATATCTAAATAGAACTTTATTTAGATTAATAGAGCTTTGCGTTCGAAATGAAGTGAACTAGATGAGACATAAGACGTCGTATTCCGACAAAAAAGACGCCCACACACCGCCAAAGATTTTCTGAGTTTACAGTCTGTTCCCACGACGGTTATATCCTGCGCATAAGCGGTAGTTTTAGCAGCTTTGACTAAAGTCATGTTTACATTACAAGCCTTGGTAAATGTTGCGCGTTTACACCATAACATTATCTTTTTGAGAATGGGTCACTTTGGCCTAGAATTTTGTAATTAATTTTGTGTATTTTTATCTGTTGTGGCGTTGTCCGCTCGCCGATAATATCTCACTGTGCCCTGTGGACGCACGTTGCCATGAAAATAAGGCCAGGGCCGTAAGTGTAAAACATTCCCACAAGCCTAGGCCAGACCTGGGCACCGGTTGTAGTTGGCCCAGATTTGCTGGCCTATAGGTCAGGCCAAGGCTAGGCCAAAGTGTGTTTACACTGCCAAAATGTAGGCCAAGGCCAGGCCAAGGCTTGTAGTGTAAACAAGACTTTAGGAGAGAAAGAACAACATATTATATTTATATATGATATATTGCGTGGTTTTTGAAAACGAAGCAACGACATATATAGCATATTATGCTTTGCTATATTGCGTGATGAGTTTCTTAACTGAACGAACCAACAACATATTATATTGATAGTACTGATATTGCGTGATTTCTTAAGAACGAAGCAACTACATATTATATCATATTGATATAAGGATCTTTCCTTTCCCTTGTTATATACGTGGTCTCTTGAGAACGAAGAAACAACATATTACATTGATATATTGCGTGTAGGTTTCTTAAGAAAGAAACAACAACATATTATATTGCTATATGATATATTGCGTGGTTTTTGAAAACGAAGCAAGTGCTATATTAGCTATATTGATATATTGCGCGTCTCTTGAGAACAAATTAAGCAACGACGTATATAGCATATTAACCTATGCTTTGCTGTATTGCGTGATTTCTTAACCGAATGAACGAACAACATATTATATTGATAGCCTATATTGCGTGATTTCTTAAGAACGAAGCAACAACATACTATATTATTATTGATATAAGGATCTTCACGTTGCCGTGTTATTTACGTGGTCTCTTGAGAACGAAGGAAAATTATGTTGATATATATATTGCGTGAGTTCTTAAGAACGAAGCAACAACATATTGTTATATTATTGATATAGGCTAAGAAATGTCTATATTGACTTGCATATTATTTTTCCATTGGATCCAGTTGATCTCTTGAGAACGAAGCAACAACATATTAATAATGACATATTTGTATATAATTTAGGTTTTATAATATAATCTATTTTTTAATCATGTAAGTAACTCGTAATTCAGATGTAAATGTTCTGCAAAGAGTTATTAATAAACCATTACCATTACCATTACCATATTATATTGATATATTGCGTGTAGGTTTCTTAATTTAAGAAAGAAAGAAAGAAAGAACAACATATTATATTGCTATATAATATATTGCGTGAGTTAAGAACGAAGCAACAACATATTAGGGCCTATATTTATTTATTCATATAAGGATCTTCCCGTTCCCGTGTTATGTACACGTGGTCTCTAGTTGACAAAGAAGCAAAATTATGTTGATATATTGCGTGAGTTCTTAAGAACGAAGCAACAACATATTATATTTATTTATTCATGTAAGGATCTTCCCGTTCCCGCGTGTTATGTACGCGTGGTCTCTAGTTGACAAAGAAGCAAAATTATGTTGATATATTGCGTGAGTTCTTAAGAACGAAGCAACAACATATTATATTTATTTATTCATATAAGGATCTTCCCGTTCCCGTGTTATGTAAACGTG